GTCATTTTTTCGCCGTCAAGCCGCTCTAGCGGCGCTGCGCGCCGCAAAGAGAGCACGGCGCGTGCAGAGGAGCACGCGCTGCACACGCACGGTGCAGGCCGCCTCACGAGTCGTCGAGCCGAGCCCTATTCATAGCAAAGAGTGTGAACGGCGCCTTTTCACACCTCGAGCCGTGAACACCGTCCGGCGCCTTCTCACCGCCCCAAGGGCGCTGCGCGCCGTGCAAACGGCGCCGGTCGTGCAGCGCAGCACACGTGCGACACGCCCCTTGCACGGCGTCTGCTACAACGGCGCCTCAAGCCCTATCCGAGTCGAAAAGTGTGAGAACCGTCATTTCACACCTCGAAACCGCTAAGTCATTTTTTCGCCGTCAAGCCGCTCTAGCGGCGCTGCGCGCCGCAAAGAGAGCGCGGCGCGTGCAGAGGAGCACGCGCTGCACACGCACGGTGAAGGCCGTCTCACGAGTCGGCGAGCCGAGCCCTATTCATAGCACAAAGTGTGAACGGCGCCTCTTCACACCTCAAAGCCGCGAAGTCTTTTTTTCGCCGTCAAACCGCTCTAGCGGCGCTGCGCGCCGTGTGGAGGGCGCGGCGCGAAGGGAGGAGCACGCGCTGCACACGCACCGCGAAGGCCGTCTCTTGAGTCGGCAATCTGCGCCCTATTCACAGAATAAAGTGTGAACGGCGCCTCTTCACACCTCGAGCCGTGTACGCCGTCCGGCGCCTTCTCGCCGCCCCAAGGGCGCTCCGCGCCTCGCAAACAGCGCCGAGCGTATAGCACAGCACACGCGCAGCACACCCACTGAGCGGCCTCAGTAAAACGGCGTCTCAAGCCCTATTCGAGTCGAAAGGTGTGAAATTCGTCTCCACACCTCCAAACCGCTAAGTCTTTTTTTCGCCGTCAAACCGCTCTAGCGGCGCTGCGCGCCGTGTGGAGAGCGCGGCTCGTACAGAGGAGCACGTGCTGCAAACGCACCCCGAAGGCCGCCTCGTGAGCCGGCGAGCCGAGCCCTGTTCATAGCATGAAGTGTGAACGGCGTCTCTTCACACCTCGACACCGTGAACGCCGTCCGGCGCCTTCTCGCCGCCCCAAGGGCGCTCCGCGCCGTGCTAACAGCGCTGAGCGTGCAGCGCAGCACACACGACGCACGCCCCGTGAACGGCGTCTGACAAAACGGCGCCTCGAGCCCTATCCGAGTCGAAAGGTGTGAACATCGTCTCTTCACACGTCGAAGGCGCTAAGTCTTTTTTTCGCCGTCAAGCCGCTCAGACGGCGCTGCGCGCCGCGTTGAGAGCGCGGAGCGTACAGAGGGGCACACGTTGCGTACGCAGCGCGAAGGCCGTCTCGTGAGTCGGCGAGCCGTAGAAAAGATATGTTTTTTTTCCCCCCCTTGTTTTCATCGGATGGCACAACGGCGGAGTAGTTGTCAGTCTCTTGGCACTTCTCGAACATGTTTTTGAGCCATCTCGCCGCCGTTGGCGGAGCTGAGTGCCGCCGCGCACACGGCAAATGTCGCACTCCGTGGGAAACGTCGGCGGCAACGCCGGAAATCATTTTTGAAATAAAACTCACCAGACAACAACGCCGTGTAAATGCCAACGAACCGTTTTGCGCTCCTAACCAACAGCAACACACACCCCGGCCGGAACTACTCGTCGGCGGATGTGGACCAGAGCGACGGCCCATCCGGCCCTGCATCATGGGATGCCCGGCTTGGGCGCCGGCGACGACGCGTACGGCCACCCCGAGGGCCTCTTAGCGACGGCAACCGTCGTGCCGGTGGCGGTGCCGGACCCGGTGGCGGGCGTCTTACGCTTGTTGCACGGGGTGGTGGTGGCGCCTTGTGGCAGCGGCCCCGGAGGCGCGGCCGGTCGAGCCGGCGCTGACTCCTGACAAATGCGCACAATCGCGCTTCCGTAAGTGTTCATCTTGTCCATCCCGATGCCGTTGACGAGCTTGAGCTCATCGAGGCTCGTCGGGCAGCGGGCCGCAACCGACCGCAGCACGGAGTTGTGCAGGACGTGGTAGGGCTCAACCTTGTCGGCCTGCGCCCTTTTCGCCCTGAAGGAGCGGAGCGCTGCGAGCAGGAGGCTGTCCGCTTGATCTCCGGCAGCCGTCTGCGGAGGCGCCGCGGGCCTTGGAGGAGGAGGGGCCGAGTTGGTCGCTGGCTGCCGGGCGCCGCAGGAAACGAGCTCCGTGTACGCAGCGTGCGATGTGTCGTGCATGTGTCGGATGCGCGACCGGATCGCGCCGTTGGTTCGGCCGAATCGCTTGGCCAGCCTCGCCACGACGGCGTTGACCTCCTGAGTACCGGGAAGCTCGCCATCAGCCTGCAGCTGCACGTGGCAAAGTGCGTGCCAGACCGCCTTGCTGTCGTCGAGAGGCCACTGGCCGGGCATTGCTGTCAACCGTGGCCGATTGGTGGCGCGAAGGGCGGCTGTCAGCTAACCGGCGAGAGCGCGAAAGAGAAATGTGGCCCTGGCTTCTCGAGTCGAGACGAGAGGCAAGGAAACTTGAAAATTTATAAAGGAAACTTGATAAAAGAAACATCAAACGTTTTTCTTTGCTTTGGCCCGACGCCGGCTCGCGCTGTACGAGTTGCTCTCGCTCGCGGAGGAGCGTCGCAGTGTGCACCCACGCAACGCCTTCGCACATCCACACCACACTCTGCGTAGCCATGGCATTTCACTCCGTGTGCGTGCGACTCGCACTCGCTCTCTTGCCCTCGCCGCCGCCTTCGCCGCCGCCGCCTTCGCCTCCGTGACTTCGGATCGCTTCCCCATTTCTCGCACTGCCTCGCTCGCCACGTTCGACAACAGTGCACCAGCGCTCGCTTTCTCTCGCTCCCACTCACGCTTCGTGCTTCGCTACTAGGTTCTTCGCATCTACTTGGAGTGGATAGCGTCTGCCGCCTCTCGCTGCTCTGTCCGCTCTGCCACCTCGATGCCGCGGTTGCGACGCTCTGATGCCACTCCCTAGATCGCAGCAGCTCCATCGCTCGTTGCACCAAGGAGCGATGACGAGGCGGCAGCATCGCATCGGCGGTGCCAGCCGTTGTCACGCTCGGCCATCTCGCGCCGCCATCTCCACCTCTCTCACCGCCGCCTCAGTCTTCGCCACCACGCGATCGCCTCCGGCGAGCCCGCAAGCACGAAGCCGGCTCTCCTCGCACTCGCGTCGCTCTCCGCCCCGGAGGGATGGCCAGTTAGGTGTGCCAAGGTTGTGTGCGGTTAGGGTTAGCGGTTGCCGGAGCCGCGCACTCAAGTTAGGGTTACGTAGTAACACGCCGCGAGCGAGGGTTAAGCTAGGGTTATACGTCCCCCGTCCACGGCTCGACGAGGGCTCAAAAATCGATAAAAAGGGCCCACCCCGCGAAAAAATCGCGCGCTGCGCGCGCAGGAAGAGAGAGAAGGAGAGAGAGAGTTATTGCCGCCACCCGCGCACCCCCCTCTCGCCCGGGAGAAAGTTGACGAGCGGAGCGAGGCAACTTTCCCGGGGCGAGCGCCGGCCGCGCGCGAAAAACGGCCATTTCGCCAAAACGGTGGAGGCCGCCCCGCGCTACCGCCCGTCAAACCCGCACCGCCCGAAGCCCTCGGGAAGGCCCTCAAAACGCCGACGCGGGAGGCCGAAAATCGCCTCGCTTCAGAGCCCGCGCGAGGACGGACCCCACGCCGCCCCACGAGCGACCCGCGCAACCCGCGACCAACAGCCGTGCGGAGCATCGGCAGGAGACGTCCGCAGCCCCAAGGATCGCCCTCGTCCGATAAAACCATCGGCCACCATGACCATCCCCGCGCGCGCTGCAAATCTTCAGGCCCCCTGCTCGACTTTGGGCGACCGACTTTATTTCGGGTGGTAAAGCAGCTCGCACGGGCCCACCTTGTCGC